GAATGAATTTCGGTGTAATATGCGAATATCAACCACAGGTAAAAACAAATATTGTTAAGATATGTTGTAATTGTCAATCTATTTATTTGAATTTTGTGTAAATTATAAGAAAGCCATATTTAAAAGCCCAGGAGTCAAGCTGCTATCTACGACCCTGTTTGTTCTCCAATGATTATCGTCGACCTTGTTTGTTATCCAAGTTGTATATGAAATATGAAATTGTCCATCCTGTTCGACATCTGTACAATAGTGGTTTGTGTTTTACGGTATGTTTTTAAAAAAATTTTTTTAAAAAAACAGTTTATCTACTCACGTATTTTTGTACAAATTTTCTTATGTTTTATTTTTTATGTCTAGTTGGCTGAAGAGGGGCCAATGCCCGAAACGCGTAATGTAAAAGGCGTCCCAACTGAATAAATAGTCAATAAGTTGCCAAGTGTTGATATATGTCACCTTAGTGTGTCTGCAAAGAAACAGCTTAATAACAACAACACGGTTTCATCAGAATCAAAAAAAATACACAATTATGTAAAAACATACACGATTGGATGAAAGTCTCTGTCCTCTCCCCGACTCCAAGTCTATCCCTTTTGTATTCTGAGATGGTTGTTTGACTCTATCCAAGAAAATGAAAACTTGGGTATTCCATTGCCCACAAAAGCTTTTTCAGTCTCATGTTTGTGCGATTTTGTGATTTCATTAGTGGTGTCTACCTCTTTTTGGAGATCTCTAGCAATGGTGATGTTTAAAGGTAACACGACTATTTCAAAATTTCCAGCATCGCTTTTTAATCTTCCCTTCAAAAATTAATTTTTGTGATCAAAGCTTCCCAAATCACTATTTCCATTTACAGCAGATACTATAATGCTTCAATAAATACCTAAATGAAAATAAAATAAATTAATTTTTAAAATTTATTTATAATATTCATTATAAATTTAAATAGAATAAATATATAAATGAATCAGTCAAATCAATTATTCATTCATTTACTTTCAGGAGAACGAAAGTCTAAAATTCACATCATATTCATTATATATGTACACAAATATATTTAATAAACAATTTTCTCAAAGTTCCATTAAAATCAATTAGAAAATATGATTTATAAATAGCAGGTGCACAGTGTGCAATCTTATCACTGACATATACATGATATATCTGTATTAAAAATCTTTTATGTTTCAATGTGAGTTATATTTGTTTTTGTTAGTTAAATAATTACAAGTATTTTTAGGAATCTGTATATGGAATCATCCATAAATTATGTAATGCTATTTTTATACTATCAATTACCAACCTACCTTCCTGTAATACAGTAGAGTCTCGATTATCCGACTCAATTGGGGACTGAGGTTGGTCGGATAACCGAAAAGTATGAAAAAATCCATTATTAGTGTAGTATATTATTATATCCCATGTAATTAGTATATTAGTATATTGCTATTAACCTACTTCGCGTTGAATTTTCATCAATGTTAAGCCTAACAAAAATTTTTTAAAATAATAATCGTCGCTATTGTATCGTTAAAAATTAGAAAATTAAGCCTCATTTAAATACTGGCTCCCTTTCATGGTCGAACAAGTGTTGCCAGCTAAAACACGTAAAAATAATATTAAAGTAGCCAAGACATAGCCAAATAATGTAGCACCACATCACTAGCGGACATTTGAAATTTGCCGGCTAGGACAGTCAGTTAGTCGGGAGTCGGATAATCGAGGCTCTACTGTACTCCTTAACATGTCACACATACTCAACTCCTGGATTGACCCTGTTAATTGTACTAAGGAATGATACACAGCACAAGGTGTCAAACATTACACTATTTTATTAATTACATACACATCAGTGACATAAACAGTTAATTATTAACTACTCATCTTTACCACAACACCGGAAAATAGTAATATAATTACCTCTTTCTAACCTGTTACCGGTGTGTCTACTAACTCTTAACGATCCAAAACGAACCAAAACTAACGTTTTCGAACCCTTAAATGGTTCTTCTTCACGTTTTTTCGAATCTCTGATGGAAAATGCAGCTCGTAAAAACTTTAAATTCGAAATATGTAAGTTCGAAATGCACGTTTCCCGTTTCTGTCGTTGTATGTCATGCGCAGTCGACTCCAAACAGGCTATCATAAATTACTATTCATAAACGCTAGCCACGCTGTTGATAACGTAATCTCTTCTTTATAATTGATGCATTGATTATCCTTAAGGTTAGCTAAGTATATGCTGGCCGCCTCTAGCCATCTGATATGGTGTACGTGCCGTGCGGTGCGGATAATTCTTGCTTTCTTAAATTCGGGGTCTATATCTGGATCGGAAGCATATACTGCTAGGGCCGTCGTGTTCCTTTGTTTCTGAATATCCGCAGCGTGTTCTTTGAGTCTAACCTCTAAGGATCGCTTGGTGGAGCCCACATACAGAAGGTTTTTATCACATCTGCGATCTATAATCGGTATGCTGTAGACCCCTGACAGCTTATCCTTGTCCGGTTGATCTTTTCCGTTGGTTAGGATGTTGAAGATCGAAGCGCACCTTCTGTATGCTATACGTATGTGGTTCTTTTTAGCTATTTCTCCATATATTCTTCTAATATACAGATTATAACTGACCGGAATGATCTTATCCATATCTTGTCGTTCTTCTCTTAGCGGAAGGTCTTGAGTTGTGTTTTGATACTCATGCCATAACTTGCGTACGAGTCTGCCATATCCGTGTTCATCGGCTATTCGTTGTATACATCTTAGCTCTGATTGTAGGGCTGGCTCGGTAGAAGAGTGTGTGTGTGCTCTCTTAATTAGAGCCTTAAATGGTGCCACTTTATATTGCGGTGGGTCACACGACCCTACTGGTATGTATATACCTTTTGTTCCTAACTTACGGTATACCGCCGTTTGAATTACCGACTCTTCTACCTTGATATTAATATCCAGGAAGTGTATATTCGTTTGGTGCGCTTGTTAAGAGTTAGTAGACACACCAGTAACAGGTTAGAAAGAGGTAATTATATAATTATTAACTATTCAGTTAATAAATACACACTGTCTTTCAGTTAGTTTAAAACTAAATTAACACCTAAAACCAGTGTGTATGTATTAATTGTACTAATTTGGCATCTATTCATCAATTTGTGTTCATCAATTTTAGTACTATTCACTATGCAACTCTGGAAAAAGGAAAGAACCATTCTGTCCCAAGGCCTGAGATATTAGCATTATGTAATGTTTTACAAAAACATGCCCATCCTCTTGTAATGCATCATAATGATTATCTGATATACACTCATCCATATCTGCATTATGTAATTTATGGATAGCCCTATGTTTATAAAATGAAGAATAATTTAAAATTAATGTAATTGATTGGCTATGAATTTTAAGAAAAAATTATAGTATGTAAAAATGAAAAAAACTGCTTTAAAAAATTAAAAAAAGTAAATTTTAGAAGGTAAAATTAAACTGCACTATAACATAATCAGATGTACTGCCATTATTATTGTCCAAACAGTAATCATTTATCTCAAACAACTATAAATTACTATTGGAACTGAGAAATTTGTCTGCTTTTAGAGGTGTCTGCTATTAGGAAGTACTGTACAGTACATGCTGGTAGATATACTGTATTTTAATGCAAGCATCACATAATGAAGAATACAATGGATTTTGAAAGCATTAAATTTGCATTTTGAATGCAAATATACCAAAAAGTATAAGTAAAGTATATAATTAAAATATATATACATTATATTATTCATCTTTTCAGATGTAAACATCTTGTTTTAGTTGAATTCTAAACAGCAAACAGATTAAATGTGATACTTTAAATGGAACATAAAAATTACAACAAAATATATACATAGACTAATTATTAATTCATCAAAAACAATAGGGGCAGACGTAATGAAAAAAAAATGAAACTGTTATTATAAGCAGAAGGGTGCAAATGTCAGTTTAGGCAGTGAGAGTTCAAATATAGTTAGTTATAAAGGCAATTTGCTAGCCACTTCAAGGTATGGAAATGTATTCAGGAATTCTTGCATTTATAACATCATTTATGATCTAAGCCACTTATAAAATGATATAGTGATTTGTCTTTTTTTAGTTATCAAGTAGGTGTAATTTTTCAAATATTTTTACTTTTTCAAAAAATGATTTATTAAAAATTAGATCTGAGCCACCCTAAAGTTGTTATGATCATAAATGCAACAATGCCAAATATCTTCCCACACTTTAAAATGACCAGCAAATATCCTTTGTATTACAACCTTTGGATTTTCATCATATAAACTCTGTTGTCATAACCGTTCTAGGTTTCTTTTTCATTACTACTATACTACTGTTCTTGTTGAATGAATGAATAACTCAAGAAGAGTTTATGTTTTCTTGGTACCATAAGCTTAATTTCAACAACAGCAGAAAGTTTAATAACATTAATATGTATGACACTTAGTACTTATTGACAACTTAACCAAATTAGTCTTCTCTAACAGTTAAAGAGTATTGTTTGGTTTTTACAAGCTTCACTCATCCCCATTACTATTTTCAGCCAGTCTTTATTCCATAGCTATGGTTAAAATTTGTCATCTGAGAGTATTTAAACCAATTTTTTGTTTTTGTCTTAAAATATTTTGTATGTAATTAATTGTTTCAGAATATTGATGATGATACATTGTGTTTTCATAAGATTGGTTAAGGTTGACAGCATCTGATATTTAGAAGTAAATACAATAGATATCCTATTTGAAGGGTCTGGGGATTGTAAAAATGTCCATTTAGTAAAGGTGTGTGCTATTTGGGAGTGTCCATTAATGAAGGTTTCACTGTACATAACTGTTGTCAAAATAAATGCAGATTACAATAAGCTTCTAAATCAAAATAAGATATAAATACTTGAAACCATCAATTAAACCTTTAAAGCAAGAGACAAATAATGGCAGCACTTCCAGTTTGCTGGAGTGCTGTGTTGACTTGTATGATTGGCAGAATGTAAATTAAGTGTCAGATAAAACTCTGATGGGCTGTGTGACATATTTCAATGCTTATTCCTTTATATATATATATATATATATATGGCACATAGCTATTTTACAATTTTTACTGTACAAGTTAAAAAACATATATGAAACTCAATGAGATTTAATTTCCAATGGTCTTTTAACAACATTCTTTTATTTTAATAACTGAATTTCTTGTATAAAATTGAAAGAAAATAAACAATGTATCACCAACAACTTATGCAAACCTATATTAAACCACATTTGCACAGTTAAGTACAAGTGTGGTTTAATATAGATTTATCACACTTGTACTTAGCACAGCTAAGTACAAGTGTGATAAACAAGCAACTGATACCAAAGAAATTATTAAACATTAACTTAAACTTCATAAATTATTTAAGTTTATCATTAAAACTTTCCTCTCTCTATGCTTCAGTATTCATGATTTTTTCTAACTTCTCCATTAAAATACATGATAAAAAATCATAATTCCAGCATTCTAAATAGCTTTTCAGGCATCAATCTTACTTAGGAGTAATAAATCTTTTCCATACAACTCAGCAAAATAATCATTCATTTATTCCACTATAGAATTAATATTTCTGTAAATAATACATTGAAAATTTTCAGTTCCATGATGTTTAACAAACTCAATATAAATGTAGACTAAATGGAACTGACTTCAGTATGCTTTGTTCTGCATTTTACAAATTCAGATAAGAGAGAAATTTAGTCATAATTATGACTAAATTTTGTTAAAGATTTAAAGCCATCAAAATTATATAGATACTCACACATATGTCAGTTATTTTTCAGGGTTCCTCGTATTAAGCTTAATTCCATTTTTATTCAAAAATAGTATTTAAAACCAGAAATTCATCTGCAATTACCTATAGAAACATAAAATAAAATTTAAACATTTGTTTTTGTCATTGATTCATTCATTAAATTATTATTATTATTATTATAATGAAATCAGCAAATGAAATTCTCATTCATATACTTTCAGGAGAACGAAAGTTTAAAAATCACATCATTTTAAATACAATAGTATATAATACCTATTTTATAGCAATTATATTATTTTTATATATAATTTTAATATAATAGTTAATAATGTAATTTTAAAATTTTCTAAAAAATATTTTTTCCAGTCATAAGAAATGATGACCGAAACTGTGTTTCAGTTATCTTTTCATTATCAGTTATTAAAATCAATATATTGTACATTTTACTAACAAATAGGTAATATCTAATTTTCTTGATGGGAAACTACAAGCTGTAGGGGAAACTTGCCTAATTTGTACTTGCACCTAATTCGTAACTTCGCTTATATCTTGACTCCCGTAATAGCTATTAGTGTCTTTAGTAGCAAAAGAAGTAAATAACAATCGGTCATATTACCATCTGACAGACAACACGCTGTTACTCTGCTCCCGACAAAAATATTGAAAAGGAAAGTTTTTTTCAACTTTTTCTGTAATATTTTTGCACATTTCATACGAAATTTCTTCAAATTTCGTATGAAATGTGCACTGTACTTACTTGGAAAACACAATACTTACAATACACAGTGCGTATTTTTGTGATTTCATCTGAAGTGATGAAACATGCGTATCTGTTGTCAAATTTTTTGGCGACTAATGTAAAGTTTGTTCGACTCTTGCGCCTATTTCGTACTCGAGGCATGTTCTTAAAACGTACTGGTACGATTTAGGAAAACCATTTTAGATGAATGTCACAATAAGCTATTACCGATTCGTAAACTTATTTTTTTTCTAAGTTTCTGATTTAAAAAATAACCGCAAAAGTTCAAAACAAATTAAAACTTAATCGTCTTTAATTTTAGAACAACGTGTCAAAAAGAAAATATAATTCTTGAAGTAAAGAAAATATGAAAGAAGCGATTAAAAAATATAATGACGAGACCTTATAATTTAACGAAGTTTGTAGTGTATATAATGTACCGTAATTGACATTTAGACGATAGTTACAAGGACTGAATATACATCAATGAATAGACTAGATAGGTCATTTTTTAAATCACTAAAACTGAATTTTAGTGCTGCTTGCGCATCGTGGATGCAAACCATCCTGGTTCCTTAATAAAGCATATCTTCGAGCCGTTTGTATGGACACAGGCATGCATGACTTCGAATCTTGCGGATTGTGGCCTCGCAATCGCTTTAAGATCGGGGATGAGGAATATGTCGTTCTTGACGAAGATGCTAATCTAAGTGAAACGGCGGAAGTCTCCCAGAATCTGGCAACTGAAAGGCAGCAAGAACAAACAGATACTTTAACGTGTGTGGCACAATCCAATCAGACTACTGAGCAAGAACAGACTGAAGAAGTTGAGTCCCCACAACTTCCTGAGGTACCAACAACTCACCCTTCGGAAAAACAGTGAGATCAATGTCTAGAAGAGAAAGTGAAGGAATGTTCTTTAGGTATGAAAGTAAACATTTCTAATACAGAGACAGTTTGAGCGACATTTGAAATAATTTCTCCACTATGTGGTATTCTTGGAATTGCAAGAAGAAAAACATATGAAAGAATCTTGGTTCGAAGAAAAGCAAAACTACTAAAATATCACAAAAGGAGAATAAAAAAAAACAGGGAGATGAAAATATCAGTTGGTACTGTAAATTATGCCAAGAAGATGTAAAAGAAAGTATGATCAAATGCACACAATATGAGATATGGGTACATGAACTTTGCGCAGGAACCAATAAAAAACAACGGATTAATGGTGTACTGTACATACACAAAGTATTGAAAGGTTGTGGGGATTCTTAAGAACAAAAAAAATTGCCAATTCATAACATGGAGGAACTTTGTGATTCCTATTTATATGCCTTTATGTATAGAAAGTTTCTTAAATGGAAAAGTTTGAAGCCGGGCAAACATTTTAAAATTTAGATTTATACTTATCTGTACGTATTATTGTGATCGCATTAGTATTTCACACGTAGTATTTTTTAGTAAAGTTTGATTGTTGTTGTTGTTGTTGTTGTTATAGTATTAATATAAGTTAAGCTAGTCTATTATGTGATGATCCAGTCTGGTAGGGTCATCACGTGACAATGCTTCACTCCAAACTGCCGGCGTTGGGAGTGAGGCTAGTCGCAACAGGAAGTGTCGCCATGACAGTATACGCATCTGAAATTTAACCCCAATGAATTAATAGAGCTGTCTTTAAGTCAAGTCAGATGGATGCCCTCCCAATGGACTATATGTTGTTTCACCTTTTCTTTCTTTCATTGGTTGATATGGAGTGTTCAGCACATATAGGCTCTATACTCCGAGAAAGCGAGGTTATGAACACTAGGCGTCCGAGTAGTCGGCCTTGAACAGCCACACGTGCGCGGGAAAGAATGCCTTCTGGGAGGCCTTTTTAAGGGAAACAGGCCCCTATTCAAGCATTACAGACGTGGAGAAAACCCAGGAAACTCCACGTGGCCAGCCCGTCCAAGCCAAACATGAACCCATGACCGAAATCCCAGAGATCAGGAACAAAGACCACTTGTTTCACCTATGCAGCCATAGCACAGTCTTTAGCTTCGTGACGTCACGAAGTAGCGGCATCTCGTGGTAAAATCCGGACTACGGAACTGTTCTATAATTAGCCGCCAGTTTCGGTCGTAACAAGAATGGCGACCGATTACAGTATATACGTGGGCGAAAAGCTAGAAAAACAACTTTCGAAAATCATATCGTTCAAAAAATACATCAAATCCTAACGTTACACACGTATACTCTAAACCTGTATATTCCAAACTGTTCAATTTCTTATAAGGAACGTATAAGAAATTGAACAGTTTGGAAAGAAGTGTCGATTTTAAAGGAACCCAGTAAGTGATAGAGCATCGAATTGTAATTACCAAATAAAAGTACAATTGAACACAGTTTTAAAAAAATGAAACTTTAAGGAATAATTTTAACAGTAAAAATAAGCTTAAAATAGAGAAATCTACAGACCTACTCACGCATCCAACACGTGCTTTAGACGTAAGGGAAATATAGTGTTGCCAGATTCATCCGTGCTTTAACCAAAAAATTATCAGTTTATTTAATAATTACAGTATTATTAACACACTTCTTACTCAACAAATAAAAACTTAAATTATTTTTCACTTCATTAAACAGAACAATTTTTATGCACTTAGATATATTTTTAAATTAATTAATTAATTAATATTTTTCTGTGTACTTTCGTTTAAATACTGTAACATTAAATAAAGTTTTATTTTAAAAATTCTTATTATTTTTCTGTCATAAAAGAGCGGGCCTCTTTTATGACAGAAAAATAATAAGAATTTTTACCTCTGTTTTTGGACCTCTGAAATTATAAATTCTTTAAAAAACTACCAAAAGCATCTTAAAAAAAAAACGATTCAGTTTATCACTTTGAAATCCAAGCAGTTTGAATTGTAAGCGAGTCTCGCACACGCTCAGCGACTTACTGTCGCTACAAATCAGTGTGACCAGCCGAATATAAAATTGTATAATCGAAAATTTACTTTTTAATTATAGACGAGTCACTCGCTTCCTTCCTCACAAGATTGGCCGTACCCTTAGTGTTCATATGACTATGCATTAGGAACCTCAGGAATTTTCTTGGCGGTTTTTCTCCGGATTCCCTCCCTCCCTTCCAGTGTAGGGCATTTATGGACAGCCCTATCCCTTGGAAACATTTTATCAGTTCTCACCATTCGGTCCCATTAAATCAGGTGTTGAGAATGAATAAAAGTCATTATTGATGCCCGTAGGATTTTAAACAATTTTAAAAAGAATAACAAACCTTATGTGTCGGATTGCAAATCCTTAGTTTAAATAAACTATAAATAATAAATATTAATATTAACGATTTAATACAGCAAATGTTAAAACAATATAAATAGTGTAACTAACCTTCGTGGACATCATTGGCAATAGTCCTATATTAATATTTAGTCATAATGATATTGAAGGATTTTTATATATTTTGGGTTTAACCGACTAACTGTGAAACTGTAATTTTTAGAAAACGGGATTTCAAAATTGGACCAAAGATAGTAAATATTTTGAGGGCAATTGCCCATTAAAAATTTGCTATTATGTAATCGTTTGGAATTTTACATATCTACTTTTGATACCAAGTAGAACGGCCGGTTGGCCGAACGGTCAAGGTGGCAGCCTACTGCTCTGGGGAACCCGGGAACGAATCCGGACGGGTCAAGGAATCCCCAGGAATTTTTCGAGGGGTGATCCGTCCGAATATGTCGGGCCCGTCTCTCACCACCCGGTCGCCTGGCCGAATCCATAATGGGCCTGCTATAAGAGGCCCTCTTAGCGCCACAGGGCGGAAAGAGTATAAAAAAAATACCAAGTAGAATGTGTTGAATATAATAGGAGACAGCTAATGGCTGAGAGGTTAGTGAGGCGGTTTACCGCTCTGTGAAACCCGGAATCGCATCTGGACGGGTTGAAAAAATTCCCAGGAATTTCTCGTGGTATTCCGTCCTGACCCTCTAGACTGCTACGATGTTGGTCTGGCCAAATCCATAATGGGCTTGCTTAAAAATAGATCTACAGTACCCACAGGGCGGAAAGAGTATAAAAAACAACCTAATAGGAATGCTATATTATTGAAAACTGAAAAACTTAGAATTAGCCACTTATAGTTTTATACCCATTATATAAAGTAATAACGTAGATTTTTCTAATTTATGTATTTTTTCCTCCAATTATTAATAAGCCAGACTCAACATAAGACCATCATACTCTGTGAGATGTCGGATTTGAAGCTTATAATGTTTTATAAATAATTTTTATGAGCATTTTTCTTTAAGAATTTTTGATGATTTAGTTACAGGCCAAGTTAGCCATAAGTGTCTAAACTATAGCTGATTATAATTATAATCATAATATCTTGCTTCACTGTCACTAACAAAGGCCACGTTGCCCGGTAAAGCGGCGCGCCCAAAGTGAATTATCAAATGTTATAAAATTTATAAAATTGCATTCTGTTTCGATTTTTACCAAATTACTTTCATCTAAAATAATTTATTTATAATGTAATAATAATAAAAATAATTCGTTTGAAAAAAAATCATTAAAAATTGGCTATATTTGGCGTGTTTTATAATCAGCTGTATCATTTTACGGCAGTTGTGTTTTTGCATGATGACAACATTTAATTTGTCTATTTCATTCGAATTCTGTTGATGTAATCAATTTCGTCAGCTGTTAAATTACGAAATTTATTAGTCATAAGTGCAAAGTGACTAGTCATTAGAAAGCTGCTGAGAAATATAAACAGATCACGTATTTATAAAGTAATTATTATATTTAAATCTGCATACTAAATCTTACTCAATTCTTATCGATCAAAGATTATTAATCTAATATATATTATATATTTGCTATAGAGATGGAGTTACCTGATTTGGGTGAACATTGTTCGGAACAGACTTGTAACAGATTAGGTAAGTAATTGATCAAGTTAACATTTATATATATATATTATTAGAGTGTGTTAAACTTGCTTAAATGTTCATTTTTCTTTATTAATAAAAGTTATATAGTGATTTAATGAATATAATTGGGTTAAACTTTACCTAACCTAACTTATTCTAATATATAAGGGACTAGATCTTATGAGCCCTACTTGGGACTTCTATGAGCCCATTTAGGAACACTAACCCCAGACCACCTTTCTTAACATAACATTCTTGGCCTCTTTGTGCTCTCTGAGCGGTAAGGGGCCTAAAACCACAAATAAAAAAAAAACCTAATAAATTACCAAATTGTAATTTATTAGAATAGGTTATGTTAGAACATGGGTCTCCACTGTGTGGCCATGACTGTGCATATAGGTAAAGTTTGACCTATAATTGTTTTAAAAATAACTCTTAAATACAAAAATTATAAGATTAGTTTAACCAGTTTTGTGTTAATTTAAATGTACAACTTCATCAATACAAATACAATTTTACAATTTATTTAACATAATCAAATTATGGTAAAGACCATTAATCAGATACTATACGTTATAACTTATCGTAATTTTAAAGATGGTTAAACTCAAATGTCAATTAGCGTGTTCAAAATGATGAAAGCTGTTCTTAAGTCAGCAATTTGAAATGTAACATTATATAGTAACATTTATGGTTTTAAAATATATAAGTGGAGATGAAAAAAATCTTTATTTAAAGTATTATTTTAAAGTAAGATACTAATGGTATTTTTAAAAACAAAATTCAGGAATTATTATTATTTAAAATGTTTCTCTGATGAGAACTGATAATTTTCTCTTTATGAATGTTTTTTGAAAATAATTTTTTTTTTAATGTTTTTGAAAATTACAAAGTATATTTAATGACGAGATTGAAACATTTAGCTTCCATGTCAGTTTTTTAAAGTATCTTCAAATGATTTACTATAAATAAATTTTTAATTTTGAAATTGGTTTATATATAAACAAATACATTTAAAATGCCAGAAAAATTTATTTCTCAGATATAAATTTTATTACTAAAACATAAGTCTTGTTCAATAATTTTTTTTATCATCTTGGATAAAGGTAACTCCTGACTGACATTTATTTTTCCTTCTTATTCTTAAATTTTTCACACAAAATGTCTTCTAACTGTAACACTGAGTAATAACTGTCCACAAAAAACTTTATCAGTGTTGTGTTTGTTACAATATCCACTAATGTTTTCGACCTCCACCGAAGTCTTCTTCAGGTGCTGACTAAGCGTTGTCTCCCCTTGATCATTAGAACGATGTCGTCCGAGTTGTAAATATTGCATGTTTCACCCCTCCGCTTGTCTCCATTCAAATAGATATCTCCACACCTGCACAATCATCTCTCTGTCTTTAAAGTTGATAAAGGTGCACCAAACGTTGGCTTTATAGATCTCCCAGGCCTCAGGTGATGGATGTGATCAATTTGAAATGCCTATCTGATTAATTTGGTGTTTGGGAAGTCCATCTGAATTTTAGGGTTGCTAACGTACGCTTTCAAGGCAGTGGTGTGCCTGTTATTTTTAATGTTCAGTTGATGCTTGCACAACACTGATAAAGGTTTTTTGTGGACAGTTATTAAATTTTTCAATTTTAAATTTCAAAAATTCACACGTAACAAGGAAAAATAAATCTGCAGTTGTATTTTTTAAAAACTATTTTATAAATATGGACAAAACACTCATCCTAAAACAAAAATAAAATATTAAAATACAATCTATTTTACTTGTATTAATTATAACCAGATTCTATGCATAATTCTTAATAATTAAATAAATATAATTATTACTTTTTTTGTTTGGAATTGTTTAATTTAGTAACATAGACATATCAGATATTTACAAAATATCAAATATAAATTTCACTTCTGATTTTAAAATTAACATATTAATCATTAAAAATAAACATCAAAAAATTGATTCAGCATTTTTGTTATTGCAAACTAATTTCTCCATAATGTGTCTCCCTGTTTTCTTTTATACTATATCCTTTTGTGCATACTTCAATAGTTTAGGTCAATGTTTCCCAAAGTGTTTCCCCTACACAATTTTAAATATATTACAATTGTAGAGTGTTATGAGGCAGAATTATTCATATTTGATAAGTTTATTTTACTATATTTAATAAGACTATTAAAAAATATATTTAGTTAAAGAGATTATTAAAATGTTTGTAAAATCTAGAACTTAATGAGAAAAGTACTAATTTATTTAATAAATTAAACAACTTTACATCTTAAATTAATATATTACTATATTAAATTAATCTTTCTGTAAATATTTATTTAAAAAACATCTTGTGTATAATTTTGATCAGATTTTAACACATTTAGTTTTCTAACAAACCCAAATAATTATAATATATTGATAAATATGACAACTGAATTTCAACTATTTAGCTAAATGCCGAAGGTGCTTAGAATTTTTAATGATATTTTTAAGGAAATAAAAATCACATTCTTCTCTTTATCAAGTTATAAGTAAGCTATATTTTAAAATTTTATTTATACCCTGATTTATAACCTAATACTGTATGTGTTGTCTATTAATAAATACAAACAAACTTGGGAAATAGTATGTATATATGTACTGTACTACTGTGTATATATACACACACTATTATACAGTATAATGTCCTGTATACTGATTTTCCAGGATTGTCTTGGATTTTTTCTGACTACCATCTAGCAATAGGACTATTATTCCAGAAACTCTTTCTACAATGAAGTATCTTTTTGTTTTTCTATGTTTTAAATGTATTTCTGTCACTAGCAGATTAAAAATACATATCCTGCATATCCTGGAATTGTAGTGTCCCAGTGTCTTTGGGAAGTGCTCATTTTGTCCTGGATTTTATTTCCAAGTAGCTGGCAATCCTAAATATTACCATCTTCAGGCAAAAGATTTTTGTAGAAATGAAATATTGAAAAAATTAATAAAACTGAACATCAAAAAATAAACATCAAAAAATTGATTCAGCATTTTTGTTATTGCAAACTAATTTCTCCATAATGTGTCTCCCTGTTTTCTTTTATACTATATCCTTTTGTGCATACTTCAATAGTTTAGATCAATGTTTCCCAAAGTGTTTCCCCTACACAATTTTAAATATATTACAATTGTAGAGTGTTATGAGGCAGAATTATTCATATTTGATAAGTTTATTTTACTATATTTAATAAGACTATTAAAAAATATATTTAGTTAAAGAGATTATTAAAATGTTTGTAAAATCTAGAACTTAATGAGAAAAGTACTAATTTATTTAATAAATTAAACAACTTTACATCTTAAATTAATATATTACTATATTAAATTAATCTTTCTGTAAATATTTATTTAAAAAACATCTTGTGTATAATTTTGATCAGATTTTAACACATTTAGTTTTCTAACAAACCCAAATAATTATAATATATTGATAAATATGACAACTGAATTTCAACTATTTAGCTAAATGCCGAAGGTGCTTAGAATTTTTAATGATATTTTTAAGGAAATAAAAATCACATTCTTCTCTTTATCAAGTTATAAGTAAGCTATATTTTAAAATTTTATTTATACCCTGATTTATAACCTAATACTGTATGTGTTGTCTATTAATAAATACAAACAAACTTGGGAAATAGTATGTATATATGTACTGTACTACTGTGTATATATACACACACTATTATACAGTATAATGTCCTGTATACTGATTTTCCAGGATTGTCTTGGATTTTTTCTGACTACCATCTAGCAATAGGACTATTATTCCAGAAACTCTTTCTACAATGAAGTATCTTTTTGTTTTTCTATGTTTTAAATGTATTTCTGTCACTAGCAGATTAAAAATACATATCCTGCATATCCTGGAATTGTAGTGTCCCAGTGTCTTTGGGAAGTGCTCATTTTGTCCTGGATTTTATTTCCAAGTAGCTGGCAATCCTAAATATATAAATNGGTACTCATGATGTATTACCAAGTATTTATAATGGATAGTTTGTACTGTACATGCTGTATACTAAATATACATTTTACATTATATAAAACTAGCAAATCAAAAGGTTAAACTTACTCCGAGATGTTCATTTTATTACGTTTATTATTCAAGTATTATTTCTAATAAAACTTAGGTTATATAAAAACAACAAACCCGATAAGATTGAAATATTCTTTTATTTCACTTCTTTTTAGATTTTCAAGTACTTTCACAATAGATGTTATTGCCAGGACTGCTTTTGGGATTAAACTCGATTCAAGAAAAGATCCAAATAATCCTTTTGTAAAGGCTGCAATAAGAAGTATTGGTCCAGTTTCTTGGAGATTTGTACTTGCAAGTATGTTGAAACGATCATGAGTGCTAAAACTTTAAAATTGCTATATGTTTTCATATATTCATTTTTGTATAAAAATATATGTTTATATATATATATTTATATATATATATATATTTTTATTTATTTATATTGAATTTGAATTTTTTAACAATTGAATTGTTAAAAAATTCAAAGAAACTTTCAAATTTAGAAAGAACTGTTCTGTTCTAGATTACTATCCTATTAAAATGTTTGATATTTACAAGTTAAAAATTGTTTAACTATGTTTAAATCAAACCAAATTACAATTTTAAAATAATTCATCTGAGCTAATTCTGTTTACACTTTAAATCATTAAATTAGTTTAGTGTTAAATTAACTTTAACACTAGACTATTAACAAATTTATTAATTGTTGTTTCATATAGTATATACATGATTATTTTCAAATCTCATAGAATTAATCTGTGTATTTTTGTGCACATATTTAAATAGTTTTGAAAAAATTTAAATTTATAATAGGTCTATATTGTTGAAAAATTTATCTGTTTTAGATTTTCTACCAATGAAATGTGATGCTTGCAAGAAAGTATTTTGGTAAGTTATAAGATTAACAATAAAATATAGTTTTATTTTATTTCTATTTATTGGAATTTATTTCTAGTTTATTTTCATGACATAGACCTAATTATACTTTATATAATTTTAATAAAAATAAAATTTAGAATTTCTCTGAAATGTGTTCATGCTTGTGGTAAGGCTGCATATTGAATCCTAGAAACACAAAGTTTGAGTACTAACAGGACAATATCTCTAAACCCAATTTATAGTTAATTCAAACCAAACTATCTGCCAAATTATTAGATGGCTAAGTTAACGATAGGAACTAATTAATTTGTGTAGAGATAGGTGGTACCACTTACCATCTATCACCATATACAAATCACTTATTTTCTAATCATTAACTTGGCCATATAATAGCCCAATAATTTGGCAGATACTTTGGTTTGAATTAACAAAGAGGACATTAAAAAATTTAAATAATAATATTGTTATAGTTTAGACATTTGAAGGTTTGAATCTTTAAAAGGAGTTGTTTTAATTAAATTTAATACTAGAGGATGAAAAATATATATCATATGCTACAAAATTAATAAAATTTTTGTTAAGTTCTTTTAGATTTTTTGGTGATATGATTTATCCAATATTATGATAATTATTATTCTGTAAGTGATGATATGGCTATGCCGGCCAAATGCTTTAGAAAAGCCATTGTGAAGTTGTGCAGAACATCTTGTTAACCCGGGCGACGTCCGAGCCGGTATCATGCTTAGATNCTTGATTCACCTATCAATGTATAAAACAGGTTCTGCACCTTCCTATTCAAATCAGAACCATCATCAATCAAACCTTTAATTAAAAAATTTTTCTTTCTCGCTTCATTCGACACCTTGTCCAAAGAATACAAAATCAAACTGTTTTCCCGTTGCAAATCATCTTTAATTTTAGAAATCTCTCCTAGTTTGGCTTCTAACTGAGTCAAACGCCGATCATGGTCATTATGTAAATTAGCCAACCAATCTATCTTCGCAACTACCTCATTTAACGTCGAAAAAAGCTTATCAAATCGGTCATCCAAATAAGAAATAACCTCCCCAGGAATAGACTTACTTGTGTCTGACTTTAAAGGGAAGAAATCTTCTAATCTCGCCGTTTTCAATGAAGGTTCACTCGGAGAACGATGTCGTTTAGCAGTGGATGCCGATGCCTGAATCTGTGAATGCGGCGGAGTACGATCAACAGGACCAGGATTTAACTCTATTCCGCCCAGAAATAACAACAACTCGAACACCATAATCCAAAATTCGATATTTTCCATAATTTGGACTTCAAAGAAGCTCACGTAAAAGTTCACTAACACGCTCGACTGCAAGCAGCGCCCCCGTATAGAGATAATATTAAATTTCAGTTGTATATATATGATCCAATAAACATAATAAATGAAATAATATACTATGTGTATATTATTTCATTTTACAGCTAAAGTCTGTGAATTGAGTAATGCTAGCTTTATCCAAGTCTTGATTAAAGCAAGTAACAATCTATACAGATAAAGTTCAGAATTAATAATGTGTACTTTATCCAAGTCACAAGTGGATAAGGACGACATTATCCAAGAACAGATGGATCTAGTAAGAACCAAACTTAAAATCTTAGACACTGCATTATCTAGACAAGGCCTATCTACCATTTGTTTGGATTGAGCTAGATATAGTTTTCTTTTATGGGAATGCCATTTTGTTTTTAGCCACTATTTGGATAATAGGAACAGAGCATTATTGTCAGGTCTGACAATGTATAGACGAATTTAAATCCAATTGGCAATATGTCAATGATTTTTCAATCTGATTTATTTTTCATGCCTATAATAAACTTAAAAAAAACAGCAGCACTACATTATATTAATAAATACAATCAAAGACAAACACAGAAACAGGAATGTTAAAAGTCCTTTTAAACACAAGTCATGTAAAAACATATTACACTACTGTTTTTATTTAGGCTAAATGCCATAAAAATGCAAAACATTAAAGTTTTACCAGAGGATTTTTATTCCATTTTCAACTACATATATTATTTTGATCAGTCATTAGTATATATTATTTAAGATCTATTCACATATCAGTATTCTGTAAATCGAAGTACTTTTTTCGTAACTTTAAAGCTAAATCTACAATTTTTAGCTTTAAAAGTATGCTTTATGGCTAAGTCTGATGATATTTTGGTGAAATAACAGGCTACATTTTTATATATTATTTTTCTATTGCATAAAAAAATGAGGTAAAGTTTAGTTGACTTTAATTAAAAAAGAAAATTCTCTTTATCCATCTAACCTGCATTGGAAAGATTATCCAGATAATTCAGTTAATGTAAACCCCTAAATTTTCTCTTTGTTTTATCCAAAGTGGGGTGAATAAAACTCAAATTTTAAATTTTGTTCTGGCTTCATCTATTCATTTTTTGGATAATGTCAGCTTTATTCACTTATGACTTGGATAAAGCATGCTTTATATGGATAAAGTTCAAAATTAATGCATTATTACTTGCTTTAACAAGAGACTTGTATAAAGCTAGTATGTTTTGGTTAATCTTAGCTTTATCTGATTCATGGGCTTTAATTCTACTAGTAACATACAAAATCTGAAACTTATATTTTATTATATAAGTAATATGATTATTTATATTATATTTGAAATAGTGGTGATCACTTTCAATATGCAAAGCACAATTGTAAAGATGCATACAGAAAAGATGTTCAAGTCCCAGTGTGTCCATTATGCAACAAACCAATTCCTGTTGAAAAAGGTCAGATACCTGATATAGTTGTTGGACAACATATCGACACATTTTGTAAATCTGATCCTAACAAGACAAAAAGAAAGGTAAGCATTTTTTAATTGTTCTGAATAGTTGTTATAGATGATAGAAACAAAGATTATATTAATAGATTTAGTTTATATATAAATATAAACCTTCTTATAATGAATTTTATTCACCAAGTAAAGCTTAAAATAATTTATAGTACAATGCACAGATGTTTATTCTTTTAATGAAAAATAATTTATTATAAAGATAAGTGATCATACAAACATAGCAAAAGCTCAGATTTGGGAAAATACGTGAGGGGACCCAAAAAAAACCAGATTTTTTGTATAAAAGCTTTATTTATTAACTTTTTTACAAAATTCCTTCAGACACCTTCAAAGTACTCTCCATTAGATGCAATGCACTTGTCAAGTCTTTTTCCTCTTTGTTTGAAGCATCTCTGGAATGCTTCAACCTTGATATCGTCCAGTGCCCTTAGCAAAGCTGTTTTTATTGCCTCCACATCATCAAAACGCTTCCCTTTTAGATTTTTCTTCATTCTTGGAAACAGAAAAAAGTTGCACGGGGCTAGGTCTGGTGAATACAGAGGATGGGGAACGACAGGCCATCCCTGAGAGGCCAAATAGTGGGTCACTCATAAAGCCGTGTGTGCAGGGGCATTGTTGTGATGAATGAACCAGTCACCTGATCGTCAAAGTTCCAGGCGTTTCCTTCGCACATCCTCTCACAGACGTCTTAACACTTTTTTGGTGGATTTTTTTCAACGTTTTCATTGTTTTGAGATGTTGAAGGACACCCAGAACTTCACAGGTGGAACAAAATAACAGTAAGAGAAACACAACACTATGCTCAAACGTAAACCTACAAACTGATGCCATTTGCACAGCTGTTTTGTGAAGGTCTCTACTAACCCCATGTAACAGGAGAACTCTCTACTACGTCTACGAATTGTAGCACGCTCTCAGTTCAGGTACTTTTTTTTTTTGGGTCCCCCCTCATATGTTGCTATTAAAATATGTAATTTCTAATATGCAGAGCCTTTGCAAAGGATGATACAAACTTGTGCAGCAACTGCATGTGAATTTTTTTTCCATTCTTTGCTTAAATACTGCACATAAGTAATTGTTTTAACATGTGAGTACAATGTTGAGTCATCTTTCTTTTTAAAAATTTTTATTAATTTTCAGAGACACATCCAGGCTTGATGCTGGCCAGGGAAGTACATGTGTATGATTAGACTTCAGTAAGGCTTTGGTTTTCCTAGCATTATGCAGATGGGTGTTGTCATGCTGGAAAATACAGCTCATCTTTGGAAAAGTTTATGCTTTGATTCACATAGCTATTGCTGAAGGATTAGAATGTAGGCTTCAGAGTTCACAGCAGCATTGCAGAAATGCAAATCTTCAACTTCCTCTGCTCTTATGCATTCCCAAACCATTAGAAACTGTGGCTTCTGGACTCATCTTAATAATACGCTTGATTACTAGCTTCATCTTTAGTACAAAAAACTTTCTTTCCTATATTCTCATGGTTTTTATGAAATATTGATTCATTCAATTTTAGTATTTTTTTCCAATTAGAGTTTATTTATTTCAGATGAGTTCAGGCTCAAGCTAAAAAATCTATCTGCACTTACATAATTCATTTATGAAAGGTTTTTCTTGGATTTGTACAGCCTGTATTTGTGTTGTGGATAATGGGATATTAGCATGTTGACTGCCATCCAATGCACCAGAGGTTGTACCAATCAGGGCTGCACAGAGCCATCCGACACACTGACAGTCATAGTAATTAGGGCCGTTCAAAGCCATTCGACCAGTGGTTGGAGCCAACTTTATAGATGTGCATGAGAGGCCACCACTAGGATGTAAAATGTCTTACAAAGCCAGGATAATTTAACCTTGAGTGAAACTACATTGGTTATAGCGGCATTGGGCGGTCATATGGATCTGCACGGCTCTAACCAGCACGACCGCCAGCGTGTTGGATAGTTGTCAATGTGTTAAAGTATTCCCTTGTCTATTTTGTCAAATCTTCTGTGGAAACTTGCCTGTTTTGGGAAATATAACATTGAAAAGAACTTAGTTATCTGAGTAATAGTTCTCTTCCAAAAGCTTTTCTTGGATGAATGTTTCTCCTTTCTCAAAAACATTTGGTGATTCCCTGGATTGTAGACTGAAAGATCTGCACATCCTGCATGATACTGAATTGAGAAACTCCTTTATACTTCTGGATAATATTTTCCTGTTTGGTTTCAGTACTGTCTTACCTCTCACTATATTTCATAGACATCAATATGAACTGCTAAAGGTAACTTGTCTTTTATACACTAGACATAAGAAAAACTACAATATATTTTAGAAAAGTTTCCAAAAAATTCTTTTTGAATGAACATCATTGCAATGTGTTGCCAGGCAGTTGCAAGATTTGCATAGCTATGAAATTAAAGATAGTAAGTTATTGGAATGAACTTGTTTATTTACAAAATGAATTAAATTTAGCACTTGGTTTAATATGTAAGAGCTTTTAAGTTTATGTAAATTTCTGAAAGTTTAAATGGTGAATAAAATTCATTGCAAGTGGGATTTTATTTAAAGGTAAATGAAAGTTAGATACTGTATTTTCTTGCAGAGTTTCATCATTGTAAAGTGTAGGAGTATTTCTTGTGATAAAGTATTATTTCAACAAATTTTTAATTCTTGAATTCAAGTAAAAACTATATATATAATCAGAAATATAAAAATGTGGGCTATATCAGAAGTATATCAGAAAGTTCTTATTATTTTTTTTTCTCAAAGAAAAAATTTGTTAACAAAGTATTTTGAAGAAATTCTTATTTTAAAAAGAATCAGAAGGAAATTATTTTTATAAGTTTTTAATAGAGAGATGGAAATCTTAAGTGAGAGGCATTTTTAATATACTGTACATATTTAGTTTTATTTATCAGATATTTTTACATATATTTTAATGAATATAAACTATAATTATACTGTGTTACTATGAAGTATAATACCATGATTATATTTTATGCACAAATTAACGTTAGTGTTATGATATTAAATTAGCCATAATTTAAAGAAGCATTTATTTATATTGTTATTGACTAAGAGTTTATTTTTAATCATTACTGATTTCATTTTTTTAACTGCATACATATATTTATATAATTAGATATTGCTTTTTTTTAGTTACATACAATTTCTTGAGTAGCAGTGATATTACAAAATCCAATAGAATAAAACAACTTTGGCCTCTTCACTCCTTTACTGACATGAAATGTTTGAGTAGAAAACAGACTTACAGACAGAATCAAAAAGACCATCAAGTACAACACATTATTAGAAAAAAGCTGAAACCTCAAAAAACAAAATATTTTGTGTTATAAAGTGTCAAAGTACAACTATTGATGCTCATAGACCTTACAGAATCTGAAAGGCAGATGGAACTTAGATTAATTGGCCAATTTTTATAGTTGTTTTATTATCATTAATTTTCTTCATATTTTAAATTTAATGCAAGATGTGTTCAGATTTCAGGATGGATAAAAAATTTAAACTGTTTACAATATAAAGAAATTTATTTATTTATATTTTTCAAAATAACATGAGGTTCAATATGTTTTTTTCAACAATTGGCTTCTAATTGATCCTACTATCTCATATTTAACCTTTATCTCTTGCCTATCTATATTTCAACAGAACTTTTTGGCAATATTTTATCATTCGTTTAATCAAGGTACATTTTCCAGTTTTCTCTTTGATTTGATTTTTTCATTGAAAGATTATATTTTTAGTTATTTTCTTTTCTTTTAATTCTTCTATTAGTCCAGTCTTCTGCTATCTTTTGTGGCTCTTAAAAATCTCATTTTATCTACTTGTAACTTTTTATCATCTAGTGATTTTTTATACATTCATACAGTTATCCATCAAATTCTATTAATAATTGTGCTAAAAATTTGTTAAAATTAGGCTAGTTTAATTAATGATCTTCATACTTGGACTGTAGGTAGATACGTTATTATTTATTGATAAAATTTAATAAACAGAATATTGTGAGTTATTTGTAAGAAAATTTTAAAAAATTCAATTAATTTAGAAATGTCTGTCTGAAGCAAGATTCAAATTATCATTTTCAAATAACTTGTGAATATGTTACTAATGTAAGAGAAACTTTTTCACACTTTATATCTGAAAGTAGATTACATCTTAGATTTAAACATAATACATCATAATTAGCAACCTCTTGTGCCATACATCTTATTTCTGTTACTAAATCTGTTGCATCATTTTAGATTTTATTAGACCAATATTCATAATAGCAAATATTTAGAGGTCAGATTAGCTCAATCTTCTTAGTCTATTACAGTAAGTACTTGAATAAAAATCTCAGAAAAATAGTTGTGCAGCACTCTTTCAAGAAAGAGTGCTTCACAACTATTCTCAGAATTATTTCAAAATATAGTGAATTTCCAATGCTTTAAGCAGCACTAAAGATGATTGCATGTGATAAGATTTCAGCATTGAATCCAGTGTTGATTTACAAGAAGCCTAACATGGGAAAGTGAAGAGGTTTCTGACTTTGATACCATGGAAGGCAGTATATAGCTTAATCTATTGTTTAATAGATACTGAACAAATTTATATCAGCAGAATCAGTTCTGTTGACATAAATTTGTTTCAAGTTGTCTAAACATGTAAAAAAAATCTATGGGTAAATTAAGGCATGTCTTAGATTCAATGGCATCTTATATTCAAGTGAATATGGTATATCATCTGTATATCAAATAAAACTTCCTCCACATATGTTAATTTTTTATTATATATCAGTATGTGAATCAAGGTAAATGAATGCTATTTGGATTCATTTGGATGAGGGATTATAGTTCTGACTGGTAAGTGATAAGTGCCCTGATTGAAATGATACAAAACATCTGAGTAATAGTATTGTAGATGAAAATTAATATATAAATATGAAGTGACTTTTTGCTTAAAATATGATGTAATTAGCATGTATATTAAACAAATATTTCCAGATATATTTTTTACTGTGTCAGAATTTTAAAAAATTTAAATTAATCCAAATTCACTGACCATTCTGTTGGTAACTGGTACTTATCAGGACTGTAACATTCCTACCTATAATCCAAATTCTGAATCTGAGTAATTTGATTAATCAGTTTTTATCTAAAATTTTTATAAAAAAAATAATATACAAATATAGCTTATTAAAACTTACAATCACTATATATAAATATAAATGGTTAAATGTTTTGAAATTCCTCTAAATGCAATGCTTTCATTATAGATTGGAAGGATGAAAAAAAATCTATGGATCTAGATATATAGGGATCACTCTAAGAGTGGAAGAAAGAGGTTTCTTCCACTCTTTCTTTTCTAGAGTGCCAATGTCATTTGTATTTGATGATACCTTTCCTCTCCCCATCACAACTAACTCTTTGATCTCCTAAGATTGCACTCCACCCTTTGTTTATTCTCTTCAGTCATTACATTATTCTTTACTTCACAACTGGGTACATAGGTAGACACTGGACATCTTTAACATCACTCTTTATTCAGGAATATCTTACACACGATACGCGTTTCGGGCATACGCCCCTCTTCCGTCGGCTTTTCCTTTAAGACATTTAGTAAAGAAGTGCTAATACACATTCTTTTTTAAATACATATATTTACAGTTAAAATTTCCCAAGACAGTGCACTGAACAGCACTTAGTCTTCACTGACCAGTGAAGGCTAAGGCTAATATATATGTCATTTCACTGGAGCTTAAATCCTTCCTAATGACAAGATTCACAATAAGTGGCACTCAGTCGCATCACTAGTCACCATGGCATGTTTTCATCACAGGAATAAATAGTGTTGCTTTTTATTTTATTTTCCAGTTAATTATCCAACAACTGTAAATTTTAAGTTTAAATCAAAATGCCATGCTTTGTAACAGCTGCGACAAATCCTATAAGGAAAAAATTGCATCTTTTTAACTC